GGGAAGCCAGGAGTGTTCAGATGGTGCAGGAGACTCAGTGTGAATGGCCACAGTGTTGATTGACTAGAGATACGTTACACTGTGCAAGTGGAAGCAGTGACCAGCTTGGTACTGGAGACTACAGTAATCCTCTCACAATCCAGACTCCTGATGGTGAGTAGACTCTGTGGTTATAGTTTCAGATTGTGTATGAAGTGAGGGTTACATGAATTGCCCAGCACTTTGAAGAGACACCAGTACCGTATTTGCACATATCATCATTAATTGGTTTGCGATACTGTTCACGAATGCTATTTTGCATTCCACATGTGTGTTCTGAATTTCTGTTGTATCTCTTCACTCACTCCATCCGCAGATGTCTTCCTCCGTCTGAATGGAGCTGTCATCCCTAATAACGGCCTTTTGAATATCAGTGATATTGGCTCCTCTGATGACACTGCTCTACTGTGTATCACTAACCGTCCTCCACCATCTGGCAATCCCCCTAATTCTGGAGGAAACTGGCTTGCTCCAGATGGGACCAGAGTGGGTGACAAAGATAATAATGATGTACAAGGATTCGTAAGAAACAGAGGTCCTATGGTAGTGAGACTGAAGAGGACCGCTGGTACTGCAGCTGAAGGAATATATCGATGTTCAGTTAATGATACTGACTCCACACCCCATTCACTTTATGTAGGACTGTACACCAGTGGAAGAGGTATATAAAATCATGCTACTTTATACATGCAATCACAATACTCGTTACTTTTCAGGTCAAGTCATGCTATCTACACTTCCTCCACACTCCATCACCAGTGGAGCCAGTCCTCAGTTCACCCTCACCTGTATCTCCACTGGTGGACCTGCTACCACTGTCACTTGGACCAGAGACAATGTTGATTTCACTGGAGAAGTGCAAAAGACTGTGTTGAATGACCCAGAGACTGCAAACTATAGCCACACCTTGAATGTGACCACAGCAGGAGATTACATATGTACTGTGTCTAATATTGCTTTCTCTGCTTCGGCTACTATCCCATTAGAAGGTATGTTATTATGTGTATGAGCTGATTTTATCAGGCAAGTTCTCCAGGAACATCACCTCCCACTGGTGTGACAGCAGTCCAGGATGGTCCCACTAGTATCACAGTGACCTGGACTCCTCCCTCTCCACTGGATGGTATCACTGGCTACACCATCTCCTACACTGGAGGAGGCAGTAACAATGAGACAACTGTCAGTGGTGGAGATACCAACAGCTACACTCTGACTGGTCTCACCAATGGACAGACATACACCATATCCATTGTAGCTACGTCTCCAAACCAACTGGCAAGTTCCCCCATCATGAAACAAGTTAGACTAGGTGAGTCATAGGAAGGAAGTATAGTGTGTGACGTTTGACCTGTGTTCAACTCTGTAGTGTCGACTCCAGCCCAGCCAGTGGTGGACACCAATACCGTTGTGGCCACAGCAGATACAATAACTCTCTCCTGGGCCGTTCCTCCTGATGTAACTGGCTCAGAGGTGAGCTGGGAGCTAACAGAGGAGAGGAGAAGAAGACGAGTCCGCAATGCTGAGGAAGGGACTAGTGGACCACTCTCTGCAGACCAGAACAGCTACACTATCGACAAGCTGAGGATTGGAACTAGCTATGACATCACTGTCACAGTCTTCAACCCTGCTGGGAACTCTTCCACCACCTTCACTCGCTCTACTGAGGAAGGAAGTGAGTTTCAGAGACATTTCACCCAAAAACACACCTCTATCTTATCTACACACACACACACACACACACCCAGGTCCCACATCGTCCCCTAATGAAGACAGTGGAGGCTCAGGTGTAGGAGGAATAGTGGCTGGAGTCATAATAGCCATTGTCCTAGTGGTTGCCGTTGTAGCAATCCTTATCGTGGTGGTGTGGCTGGTCAAGAGAAGGTGAGTCTCACCTCCAGTCACCTGACTGTATGTTTATATGTATGTGACTCTGGTCTGGGTCATCAGGAGCAGAACTGTCAGCAAGTATGTACCAGCAGAGAGAGACAGTGTGCGCTTCTCTGCCAAAGACAGCAAAGTGTCTTCTGATGAAGGTAAGTTGGTCTTTCTACAGAGTTTTACCTTAGTTTTTACTCAACCTTTTTCACCCTCTCTCTCCCTCAGCCCCAGTGATAGTGGAGTTCCCAGAGGACACCCTAGTCCAGGAGGGAGAGGGGGTAGTGCTCAAGGTCGAGGTAACCGGAGTACCCCACCCCAAACTGACGTGGTACCACAACGGAGTAGAGGTGGTGCCGGATTACTCCAGGGAGCTGGCGGAGGACGGGACTCTCACGCTGCCCTCTGCTGAGACCAAACACAGCGGAGTGTACCAGCTGGTGGCCAGGAACAGAGGAGGCAGTGCCGAGAGAGAGGTGAAACTGCAGGTAGAGCAGGAGGGTGTGGAGGAGGGAATCGCTGCTGAGGAGCCGTCCTACGAGACTGTGGCTCTGCGTGGTCCGGTTCCCGTGGCTGTATTCGGGAGTCACGTGGAACAGCGACACTCAAAGAACAACAAGCCATTCAAAGAGGAATATGAGGTGGGGCTATGAATATCGTTGATATTTCCTCCAAGGAATTGTCTTGGTATGAGTGGCTGGTCAAGCATTGGAGTGTGTCTGTGTGTGTCGTCTCCTTTTCTTACTCCCACTGGCATTACACTGACTGCTGTTACACTGATTGCTGTTGATTGCAGGGACTGCCCACTTACGCGGATAAGCCCGTTACCGTAGCTACCACTCCTGACAATAAACTCAAGAACCGCTTCGCCAACATCTGTGTCTGTGAGTACATCTCTCACTCTCCTTTCCCCTGTGTACATCTCTCGCTCTCCTTTCCCCTGTGTACATCTCTCGCTCTCCTTTCCCCTGTGTACATCTCTCGCTCTCCTTTCCCCTGTGTACATCTCTCGCTCTCCTTTCCCCTGTGTACATCTCTCGCTCTCCTTTCCCCTGTGTACATCTCTCGCTCTCCTTTCCCCTGTGTACATCTCTCGCTCTCCTTTCCCCTGTGTACATCTCTCGCTCTCCTTTCCCCTGTGTACATCTCTCGCTCTCCTTTCCCCTGTGTACATCTCTCGCTCTCCTTTCCCCTGTGTACATCTCTCGCTCTCCTTTCCCCTGTGTACACCTCTCGCTCTCCTTTCCCCTGTGTACATCTCTCACTCTCCTTTCCCCTGTGTACATCTCTCGCCTCTCCTGTTCCCCTCCTTTCCCCGTGTACATCTCTCGCTCTCCTTTCCCCTGTGTACATCTCTCGCTCTCCTTTCCCCTGTGTACATCTCTCGCTCTCCTTTCCCCTGTGTACATCTCTCGCTCTCCTTTCCCCTGTGTACATCTCTCGCTCTCCTTTCCCCTGTGTACATCTCTCACTCTCCTTTCCCCTGTGTACATCTCTCGCTCTCCTTTCCCCTGTGTACATCTCTCACTCTCCTTTCCCCTGTGTACATCTCTCGCTCTCCTTTCCCCTGTGTACATCTCTCCATATCTGAAATCCCTCCACATCTTCTGTTTCAGATGATGACAACCGCGTAGTGCTGAACCCACTGGCCAAATATGACTCTGACTATGTCAATGCCAGCTATGTTGATGTAAGTCCCTCTCTTGTGGAAACTAAGGCTCCTGTCTAAACATGGCCTTCCTCTCTCTAGGGCTACAGTACCAAGGGCAAGTTCATCGCCACTCAAGGTATGTGTGTGTGTTGTGTAAGAGAGGCTGTATGATGTCATTGCCTCCTCCCCAGGTCCCCTACCAAAGACAGTGGTTGACTTCTGGAGGCTGGTCTGGCAGGAGAGGGCCCCCACCATTGTCATGATAACGAACCTGGTGGAGGGGACCAAGATAAAGTGCCAGCAGTACTGGCCCGAGGGCGGGGCCCAAGGATTTGGACCGTTCCAGATCACCGTCACTGACCAGCAGACACTGGCTGACTATACATTGCGACGTATTCTGGTCCAGGTGTGCTTGTTTTATCTTTATGGTGTCAACATTGAATTTCACTCTCATTTCATGGTAAACAGCTGAAGGGAAGTTCAGAGCGTCCACTGAACGTGAGTCAGTTCCACTTCACAGCCTGGCCTGACCACGGAGTGCCCGACTATGCCACGCCCATCCTGACCTTCCACAGGAGGGTGATGAAGGAACACAAATCTGGACCTATAGTCGTCCATTGCAGGTCAGCCCCTTAGAGAACTATCTTTGCTGTACATAAGTTCAGGACATTCAGAGTGGAGTAACTAAAGGGGTTTTCTACCGTCTTAGAATAATGGTGCATTTGGTTAAACCAAACCAAGGCCAAAGGAACCAACAGCACTCTTGATGTAGCATAAAGTAAGGCCAAGCATTATTACTAAGTGGTTAGAAGTAATGAAGAAAACAAACTTACCAACACTTTCAAAACAACTGGACTCTAACTTCGCTCCTTCTGAACTACACACACACTCTCTCCCCTCTCTCCTCTCCTAACAGTGCTGGAGTGGGCAGGACAGGAACATTCATCACTATAGACCAAGCCCTCGAGGCAGTGGAGAAGGAGGGAAAAGTGGACATCCCTGGAATCATAGCTAATCTGAGGCAGCAGAGGACCAAGATGGTTCAGACACCGGTATGTTGTGTTAGCTGGTCTCTCGCTGTCTCTCTCTCTGTGTTTCAGTTGCAGTGTTTGTAGTTGTGCTGGAGTTAGTCCACCTGTATACACACCACACCACACATCACCAACACACTGGGGTGCTCTAGGGACAAACAAGGGACATTTGTATCGTCTTTTACTACTGCCCACAGGCTGTGTTGTGTTCAGATATGTTGCCCATAGCTTATGTCTTGTGTGGTGTTTACATTGCCGTTGAATGCCTGGCATTCCTTGTGTCCACTCTGATGTGTAGGTGTGTGTGAGGTGCATTCCTTCTAGTAATTATTATTCTATTTCTCTCTATTTCCCTCTCATGGTGGTCACAGGACCAGTATATCTTCATCCACGATGCCATCCTGGAGGCAGTCACGTGTGGAGACACTCAGGTGGAGTCTGGAGACCTGAGGAAGATTCTGGGCCGGCTGCAGAGGCGGGACCAGTCAGGGAGAACTGATATGGAGATACAGTTCTCTGTGAGTCGACGGACAACATGGCACACCTCTCACTACTTTCTCTCTCCATTTCTCTGTCTATCTTGTTAACTCTCCCAGGTGTTGGAGCAAGTTAGTCCCAACCCTCAAGATGCTAAGGTGTCTGTCGCTCTCAAACACCCAAAGAAAAACCGCTCCAAAAACTTCCTGCCTCGTAAGCTCTTCTGGCACTCTCTCAGTGATACATGTTCTAACGTTTGTCTGTTGTCTAGTGGACAAGTGGAGGGTGGTGATAAAGGGAGAGAGTCCGGATTATATCAATGCTAGTGTGGCTCATGTAAGACAACTCTTTTTCTGAGTAGGTGTATGCATACTGAGGCTATGTTCTGTAGGGCTACAAGCAGCAGAGAGCCTTCATCATAGCTCAGAATCCAATGCAGTCCACTGCCAGAGATTTCTGGAAGATTGCGTGCGACAGGAAGTGTGGAGTGTTGGTGATGCTGTGTGACCTGGTGGAGAGTGGGAAGGTGGGAGGCCATATAGCAGTATTACTGTGGTGTTCATGGCATGTGTGTGTGTGCAGGAGACATGCTACCAGTACTGGCCTTCCAGTGGCTCCCTCACAGTTGGAGAGTTCACTGTGGACCTGATCCAGGAAGAAAGGCTCTCTGGATTCACTATTAGGAACTTTGGAATCTACGATGAGAAGGTAAGTCTTCTCCTTCCTCCGCTGCTCCAGTTGTGACCTACTGGTGTCACCACAGAGCAACAAGTCCCACCAGGTGACCCAGTTCCACATCACCAACTGGGCACCCGATGGGAACTGCTCCAACATCAAGACCGTCACTGACGTGATTGAGGAGGTCGGTAAGGTGCAGAGGAGGACCGGGAATCACCCCATCATGGTCCACTGCAGGTACACTCGCCCTCTCTGCCTCAAGCCATGCAAGCCTGTTTATTCTGCAACGTAGTGCATCTTTTCTTGCATACTTGTTGCTAATCAGAATACACTGAGAAACATACAAATTAGTGTGCAATACTTCCCCAAGTGTTTTTGTCAATAATTATCCCTTCCTTTACTGCAATGCTGTGTGTGTTGTGTCCAGTGATACAGTGAGCAGGTCGGGGATGTTCTGTGCCATAGCCACCACCATTGAGAGGTGTAAGACAGAGGGAGTGGTGGATGTGTTCCAGGTGGTCAAGGCTCTCCGTGTACAGAAACCTGGAGCTGTACGCACTGTGGTACGTCACCTACTATCCCTATAAACCAATGTATTGAGTTACCTCCAATTTGTTTTCATCTGCAGCTGCAGTACAGGATAATCTTTGAGGCTGTTTTGGAATACCTCGACTCATTTGCACTCTACTCAAACTTTTAACTGACTGAGAAATGATGACTTTGTTTTGCAAAACTTTGTCTCCTCTTACATGTAGCTTTATATAAAGTTGTGGGTTTTATTAATTTTTTTGCTGTACATAATATTGTGTGACATACTTCAATGATTATTGACGACGCGCGTATTATGTACGTGGGAGTTTTATTGCGAGAAATTCTGCGCATTTCCGACGCCCCGCGGGACTTTACTGGTGCTAAAGCTCTTGTGTGTCGAGAGACTGATCGGCTGCCAGCGATGGCTCTGTCTCCAGGAACAAAAGGTAAGTTGACATGCTACAATGTGCAGTGAGCTGATCGTGACGCTGTGCGAAAGCCGCGGTTTTGCCGGCGAAGGGGACGCAGAACACTGAGATCCACCCACTTTTTTGGTGGTGTCTTGTCTTTGATCTGCAGCAGGCAGAGCAGTTGTTTCACTGATTCTCCTCTGGTCTCTGGTGGAGGTCCACTCTCAGACTGCTCCTTATGTCTCCTTCATGAGCCAGACTCTGGCCAACCATTCCTATGTGGACATCAGTCAAGTGGGGAATGATCTCAGTGGTAGTGACAGTGTTCAGTGTCTCACTGACCTGAGCACATGTTGTAGTGGTGCTCAGGGTCCCTCATCGTGGAGACTGGTATTTCCCTGATGGAAATAGACTGCCATTCTCTATGGATGGTGGATAATAATATATCTATGAGTTTCCGTGCAGCTCAGAGAGTTGACATACGTCGTAGGAACAATGCTAACTCACCAACTGGTATCTATCGCTGTGATATTCCAACTAATGCTGTCCATGATGATACTGACATCTCAGTGAGAGACACACCAGTCTATGTGGGACTGTATACTGCCAGTGGAGGTAAGCTAAAACCTGTATTTGTACCAATATACTGCCACTTCAAGAGCTCTGCTACAATTTAAGGAGACATTCAATATCTGGAGGAGTGACATTTGACTCTGACCAGCTGACCCTCACCTGTATCTCCACTGGTGGACCTGCTACCACTGTCACTTGGACCAGAGACTCCACCACTGTCACCCAAGGAACCCAGACTGTGTTGAATGACCCAGTGACTGCACAGTACACCCACACTCTGACTATAGCTGCTGCAGGCGATTACACGTGTACTGTGTCTAATAACAAGCCATCCTCTGCCTCTGCTACCATCACTGTGACAGGTACTCCAGAGAGATACATAGCAAAATGCTAAGCTGTGAATCAAATCTTAGGACCTGAGGCTCCCACTGGTGTGACAGCAGTCCAGGATGGTCCCACTAGTATCCTAGTGTCTTGGAGTCCATCCAGTGATGCCACTGGCTACACCATCTCCTACACTGGAGAGGCAGCAGTGGTAGTGAGACTGTCAGTGGTGGAGATACCAACAGCTACACTCTGACTGGTCTCACCAATGGACAGACTACACCATATCAATTGTAGCCACATCTAACAATCTGGCTAGTGACACTGTGACAGTAGACATGGCTGTTGGGTTAGGTAAGTCCAATAGTTCTTCAATCAATGATTTAAGTTGTTCTCTGTATCCCGTGCAGTTCCTGGTCAGCCAACTGCCAGTACTGACTCCACAACAGCCACTACCATCTCCCTCTCCTGGAGTGTTCCCAGTGGCTCAGTGGTGACTGAATACATTATAGAATGGGCTAGAGACACTTCAGTAGGCTGTTCTGATGAGGACACAGGCAGTACCACTATCACTGCTACCAGCCATACTATACCTGGTCTAGAGGAAGACAGTAGGTACACCATCACTGTGACAGCCTCCAATGGAGCTGGTAGTAGTGAAGTCAGTAACACAGTGACTGCAATGACTGGGGAGGCAGGTGAGAGACTATCTACCACTGCTAGTGGTCTATTGTATGGTCCTCTATCCCACAGCTCCATCTGCCCCTCCGTCTCTGTGGAGTGCAAACTGGTGGAGAGCTCTTCCACTATCACTGTCCAGTGGGGAGAGGTGCCATGTATCCATCAGAATGGAGACATCACAGGCTACTCAGTCCAGTATGGAGTGATGGGGAGTGGGAACACAGAGACTATGACTGTCTCAGGAGCTAGTACCACTCAGACCACCATCACTGGTCTCAATCCCTCCACTACCTACTCCATTAGAGTTGCAGCAGTCAACAACCAACTCATTGGAACATACAGTAGTTCAGAGGATGAATTGACTGAAGGTGTGTATTCATTGACTGTGATTATCATAGAACAGATGTCGTATTACCCATGTGGAATTGTCAGAGTAATGTTTTTGATTGCTTCCTCCCCCTAGTTGCTGTCCCAGTTCTGATGTCAGACTCCACAACAGCCACCTCCATCTCCCTCTCCTGGACCAGTGCTGGCTCAGAGGGAGTCATGTATGAGGTGGAGTGGCGAGAGAAACACCTCAGTAGGCTGTACTGATGAGGACACAGGCAGTACCACTATCACTGGAGGTTCCATGACTAGCTACAATATCACTGGACTAGAGGAAGACAGTAGGTACATCGTAAATATGACAGCTTACAATCCTCTTGGAAATGAAAGAAGTGAGCCAGTCACTGCAATGACAATGATTGCTGGTGAGTGTGGCTGACTCTGACAACATGTTAATGTGAATGTGTGTTATTTCATCAGCTCCATCTGCCCCTCCGTCTCCTGTGAGTGCAATGGTGGAGAGCTCAACTAGTATCACTGTCCAGTGGGGAGAGGTACCATGTATCCATCAGAATGGAGACATCACAGGATACTCAGTCGAGTATGGAGTGATGGGGAGTGGGAACACAGAGACTATGACTGTCTCAGGAGCTAGTACCACTCAGACCACCATCACTGGTCTCAATCCCATCCACTACCTACTCCATCAAGTAGCAGCAGTCAACAACCCAACTCATTGAAGAACAAAAAGCCGTTCAGTGCAGAGAATGCCAACCCATGTGACTGAAGGTGGTGTATCATTGCGCATGTGAATATACGTATTCATAAGAACACTACTTGCTCTCCCTACGTTTGCTGTCCCAGAGTTCTGGTGTCAGACTCCAGACAGCCACCTCCATCTCCCTCTCCTGGCCAGTTGGTGGCTCAGAGGGAGTCAGTTGATGAGGTTCGGTGGTAGGGCGAGAGAGAGACACCTCAGGAGTCTGTCCTGATGAACACATGGGCAGTGCCACTGTGTCTGGAGGGTCTGTTAGGAGCTATGACATCACCGGCCTGTTTGGTGATAGCAGCTACAGCATCAGAGTCAATGCAATGAATGCTGCCGGGTCTGCAATCAGTGACCCGCTAGTTATATCCACTACTGAAGCAGGTAATATCTCTCATGCATGAGGGCTTATGTATTACAAACTATAGTCAGTGGTGCATGTTGTATATACTATTGAAAAGACCACACACATCTCTCATTCTCCCCAGCTCCCACAGCTCCACCTGCTAGTCTATCCTCATCCAGTGTCACTCCAAACAGCTTCAGTATTCAGTGGGGGAGGGTGCCTTGTATCCACCGCAATGGAGACATCACAGGCTACTCTGTACTGGTACAGGGGAATGGGAGCATGCAGATGATAGATATCAATGATCCTGATGTTCTAACAACTGATATCTCTGGACTGGTGTCTGACACAATGTATCTGGTGCAAGTTGCAGGAGTCAATGGGCAGGGGACTGGGGTGTATCGAGATCTCACTGTTACCACACCTCAAAGTTAGTCTGTACACATGTACACACGGTAGGTGGTCGCGGACTATCTGCCCTGTATAGTCATAACACCTTGTGAATATTGGATT